TATTTATTTATATATATATATATATAAATTAAATATATATATAATTTCGGATTTAGATACCGCCCATCTCATGAAAAAGTGACTCATAATCATAATTGTCATAATAACAAAGTCTTAATAAAACAACAATAATCACATCAACTCTTAGCAAAAACATTTGAAAATCTTTGAGAAGTTCTACAAAAAGTCAAAAACTCTCACTGTTGTAGGTGCACACGTTTATACGCTAAATGGAACAGATCCAGAAGGAGATCCAGTAACCTATGCCATGACCTTCGAAGCGGGATCAAGAAAATACTTTGCTGTTGATGAAAACTATGGAAACGTTTCTCTGATTGCAGAGCTTGATCGAGAGGTATAGCACAAAAGAATCTTTTTCAAATCATATGTTCACATGGCTGCTGTAGTGATCCTGGTATGAACTAGGCTATTTAAAATTCAAAGAGGAATGGAGCTGAGAAAATCACATGATTAGATACTTCATATCTTTTGAAAAAGGTCCCACATGGAGATCTAGTCTAGAATTCTTCTCCCTGTCATATTCATATTCATTATTCTCTGCTGGATTTAGGAATGTTCAGTCCACCCCTAGTCTCAAGTGGTATAGCCCAAACATAGGTTTATTGCTAAAATAAATATTCAAATATTCTCTATCAGTTACAGAGCCCTGGGTATACTAACATCAATTGCTGTCAACAGATGAATCCATGATAATATATCCAGCATAATCGGATCCTAGCAATGACAAATAGTTGCATTATTTTTCCTGACTGCCTCTTTTTTTTAGAGTAATTTGATTTATGGGATTAGTTGGGCTGATTGTAAGTTATGTACAATTTATGCAGAAACTGAAAGAACAAGTTGTGTGAACAACTGCTCAGAAATAATTGCTGTTATGTTCACAAAAGCTTACTCTTGGGTAAATATGGACGCATTTGCCTAGAAGGAAGCCCTATTGAATTTAGAGGACTTGGTGGGGAAACACATAGATTTGTGTTGTGAATTTTCCATAGAGATTGCACTGCTTAATGTTATTAAATGCAAAGCAAACAGATGTTTCAGAAATGAGGTATTTGTAAGTTATGAATAATTGCTAAAACACATCCTTTCATACTTCCTTAGACAGAAGATGAGATTGAGGTGGTGGTTAGTATTTCTGATGGCTTAAGTACAGTAAGTATATCAATAGAAAATATGCTTTCTATAACTACAGATATTTCCTTTCATACAGATGGAAATGAAAGTGTACTTCAAAGCTAAGCACTCTTCTAAGATGACTTAAGCTCTGAATCTGGTTCCAGCTTTTCCTTTACCCTGCCTTGCTCCATGCTAACTGGGTTATACATCATTGCCTCTGGTTTAGGTTGCAATTCTGAAACTGCAAATTAAATCATTCCGTACATATTTTCAAGTTTGGGTGACATAATGAATCATCCCGAGCTAAATCTGTTAAGCTGATTCCATAGTTATAAATTCAGCCCAGGTTCTGAATACAAGAGAGAAGCCAAAATTCACATTAGGGAGGTCTTCATAACTGTTGAGCTAAGGGAATCAAGGAAGGCCATTACAGAGTCACATTGTTCAGGCAGCGTCACAACATGCTCCAAAATGCTTTGGATTAGTTGATGCTTATCTCTTTAGATGAAAATGAGGCTCATTCTGGAAATCCATGTTCTTCCCTGTCCGCTGGGCCCATCCCGTCTCCATCTCTGCAGTTCACTTATTCACTTGGTCTTGAAAACTATTAAGAATCCAAAATGTGTTTGCAAAATTATATAGGGAGGACAGAGACAAAAAAAAAAAGTCAGAGCTCCTTTAATAGCACTGCACAATGTAGGCTGATATATCTCATCATACCGTATTAATTTGGAAAATTGAAGGGGAAACGGAAAGGACCATCAGAGCATTATGCCCCTCATCCAAAAATGAATGCATATATGGGGTGTGGGGACCATGGATAGGGAACCTGAAGCCTTCCTGAACCCTTCTCATTGATCCAGTTTCTGACTTCAGCTGGAGACTCACTTCTAACTGGGCTGCTTACTTATATTCTTGTGGAAACAGAAAGGACATATTTCACACAAGGCACCAAGACATCACATGGTCTGTTTCACTTTGGCTTCACTATGAGGTGTGAACCCAGCCATTGTCATTTCCAGATTGTGGTTTGTAGCTTAGCATTTGGTGTGACCTGATGGCTTTGTCAACACAGCATGGTTAAAACTCACTATGGCTCAGCACGATAAATACAACTCTGTGATTTCAGCTGTTGGGGAAAATTGGAAGCTCTCGCAGACTGAGTTCAGCTTAGACTAGTTTTCACTGACTGCAATTCTCTAAAATCCCAGAAATCTATCTGGGACTCCTCTAAGCAATTTATCTGTTTTACCATTGAGCCACTGGGTCTTTTGAAAGCAAATGTTCAGATTTTTTTTAAAAAGCCATTGATTTGATTTTCCTAATTTGTTCTGAACATAGTACACTTTCTTTGAGTGTGACCAGTGACACTTCCAGAAGGTTCACTGGTGTAAGTGCTCTGATTGCTAGCCCTTCAGGGTATTTTTCCATGTTTATACTGTAGTGCTTTATTACCACTCTATTTTTTAATTTATTTACTACCACTAGACTAGGATGCAACAAGCAAGCAAGCATGCATAGAATTGCACGTAGAATGTCATTCACATTGCCTAGCTGAAGTATTCCCATGTTCAACTTCAGGTGGCTGAGAAGGTCAGAGTCCTTATAACAGATGCAAATGATGAGAGTCCAGAATTTATCAACACGCCTTACATCGTTCAAGTCCTGGAGGTTGGTGGAACTTGTTTAGACTCTTGGTTAGGTGGAAAGACAATACCTCATGAGGGGCATACCTATTAGACTAATATAAGAGCCAGTTTGATATAGTGGTTAAGGTGCTGGTCTAGAAACCAGAAGACTAGGCCTCCCTTAGGCATGAAAGCTGCAGATGACTTTGGGTCAGTTGCTCTCTCTCAGCCCAACCCCCCTCACAGGGTTGTTGTTGTGGGGAAAATAGGAGGCAGGAGTGTTAGGTATGTTTGCCACCTTGAATTATATATAAAAAAGGTGGAAGGAGAAGGAGAAGAGAAGGGGCTAAGTAGGCATCTCAAGGAATCAAGTATAAAAATGCTGTTTCTGCAGACCTCATCTCTAGGAGATTGGGTAGCTTCTGCAATCATGCCCTTTTGGGATTCTGCTTTGGGAAAACTAAGTTCACTTGAAGGCAGGGCAATCTCTCAGCAGTCAAGAAATTCTGTAGTTTCCACCATTTGCTCCCAAACCTGGCATGCATCCTTACAGTAGATAGGATTCACCCCTGCAAAGTAGCCTTGAAGCAAAGTAAGAGCCTGTTTCTCATAATTGTAGCTTCACCGTTTTCTTGATAATATGTGGTTATCTTTAGCCTTTTAAAGTTCACCTGAAACCTGGTAACGTGCAAAATTGATCTAGCAATTGGGAGATATCATTTGCATGAAGTTATGGCAGTAGCCAATCAGCAGCAGTCATCAAATTCTCCTGGAAATTGGCAACCTTTTTTTAAATCTCCAGAACTTGAAAAATAAATTTGTATTGACCAAAAATAAGTTTGTATTTGAAGAGATCCAGTCTCTAGAGATGTCATATCTGTCAAATGTTATATCAACATCATATCTGATTTTTTTCTGGGAGAGATGCAGCTGACATCAGGTTATTTTCCTATTTGTTTTATGTCTCATTTCATCACTGTTATGGCAGGTAGGGGTGGAGAAAGCATTGTTTTCTTGTTTTGCTTCATCTCAATACAACTTCTCATTGTTTCCTTCTCTAATACATTCTTAGTCACTTCTTGCCCATTTTTTCTCCCCCTCCCAACCTTTCATTATTGTGTGCTTCCATCCCATCTCTTGCTACTGTCACTCTTGCTTTCAAGCCTGATTCACTCTTTTCTGGATTTTCAGAACACCCCGTCTGGGAGCAGCATCTTCAGAGTTGAAGCAGTGGACAAAGACACGGGTTCAGGAGGAAGCATTACTTATTCTCTGCAGGTAAAACTACACTCAGACATGGAGTCTTTGCGCTATTCCAAGCCGATTACTCTTTACTTTTATTAAATTTAGAGGCTGACCAACAGTTCTGGATGGCTTGCACATTTAAAAAGTAAAGAACAATAAGATAAAAGGAAAAAGCTTGTGCACATCTGGAAGAAACAAATACAGCACAATGATGGGCTCACAACACTCTACCCCCAGGACCTGGGAGAATAGCCAGGTTTTGAAAGATTATTAGAACATCATCAGGGTGGGAACCATACGGATGCTTTTCCAGACGGTAGAGGCCATGACAGAGAGATGGACAATAGGGATTCAGCCCCTAACATCAACATCTCTGTTCAGGAGCTGAACTGCTTTGTTTCTGGTTTAACAGCAGCATGTATGAAACCACAAGACAATGCTGTGGGTGCATGGAGGTTTTAGGCAGTCCATTTCCCTGTTTGTGGGAACCAACGGCTCACTACAAATCCAGGTTCCTGGGCTCCAGGTTTTTTGAACGGAAGGGTAATTGCAGAACTTTTGCAGTTCCCACTCATGGAAATCACTCAGAACCTCCTTCCTTCCTCCCTTCCTTCCTCCCTTCCTTCCTTCCTTCCTTCCTGGAGGTAGAGGGAAGAAAGTGCAAAAATTTTATTTTTCTTTTGCTTGACATGGGGATGATAGGATATTTATTATTTTTGGGCCTGTGGAGCTCACAGTGAAAGATCAGTGGAAATGAAGGCAGTTGTAGAGCATCTTTAGAGCACTTGTGAGTGTTTGGAGAGTGGAAATTGTCACCCTGTAGAAATGTCCAATGACAAAGAGCCCACCTAGGTCATGTTTTGATTGTGAAAGTCAAAGCTACTGTTTTATAGTGGGGGGGGGAGTTAGTTTTGAATGAGGAACCAGCCCAGATGTGTTTATTCCCTACCAAAAATAAAAGTCCAATTAAAATAAAGTTGGGTGCTACCTGAACTATTAGAACTTGCAATATAAAAATCTCATGGCAGAATAATGTTGTTTTCTGCCCAATTTGAGGTGCAAAAAAAAATAAAATAAAATCCAAGAAACCAATTACTGTAGCATTGCTGTAGATCTAGGACAACTCACTGATCAAGTAGCTTCTTTTGAAAGCGCATATATTTAAGTAGGATTAAATGTAATCTCCTTAATAGGAGAAGCACACTGAAAGAAAATAAGCTGGAAGCCAAGTTTTGTTCATGGCCAAGATACAGAGGAAGACAATTGCCATTCTTCCTTGAATGAGACTTGGGGTGTTCTGGTTGTGTTGTCGTTTTGTTCCTCTTCTGTTAAAGCAGACTCCCTACAAGCCAATCCAGATATTTAGGTTCATATTTATTTTCAGAGATTACTACTACCACTTTAGGAATCTCTGCAGGGAATTGCTTCTTTGTGTTTTGATTAAATATAAAATCTGAATTATTATGTTGTGTTGTATCTTGCTTTGTTTTTGATGAGCTGCATAGGAGTAGAAGGGGAGTCTTAAGGCCAAACACTAGGAAATCCATGTTTTAATACATAAACAAAATCCTGCAGTCCTATGTCCCAAAAAATCCTTGTACATGGAAAACTAATTTCTGGGGTAGGGAATCTAAACCAGTGTTCTCCCCCAAACGTTCCCCATAAATACCCACAAACATTGAATGAAGGTTTGGGCTGAATTTGGTGAAATAATTTAAGAAGCACTAAGGGATTAGGTTAGGGTGAGAAATGGAAGCATTTTGCACCCTCTTCCATTGCCTCTACTTGAAAGAAAACAAAAGAAAATTCTTCCAGCTGACAATTGGCCATTTTGAACCCCAGGGTGCTTGGAGGCCACTTGTGGGCTACTCAGCCTTGTTTTCATACATTAGAGCCAAATTATGATTGGAAGAAATCTGTGAATGCAAGTGGAAAATGAAGGAACCAAAATTACCAATCATTTCTTCCTACGACAATTCTTAGAAAATCCACTCAGGGTGTTGGGGATCCACACAAGCATTATGAAAGGGATGGCAGAGAGAACTGGTGAAAATTCAGTTGTTTCCATGAATAGAAGGTTCCCTCTGGAATATCACCAATCAGTGCTGTTTACAAAGGGTCCTTGAACTCTAAATTGTGCATGTTTCCGAGATTTCATTACCTCTGTCCCGCAGAAGAAAATAACACGCCTTGCATCTGATATAGTGGACTATAGTTGAAGACACGTCCTGCTTCTTGAACTTTGGGACATCCCCCTCCAGGAATTCACCACTCCTGTCCCTTTTTTGCAACATAGAAGATTGGCAGTGTAGAAACGGTCAACACTTCATCCTAGTGGGCAGTGCCAACCACTCCTATTTTGCTGCCAAGAAAACAATAGGGAGTGTTAATGATGTCATCCAGAGTCGAGTTCAACTTGAGGGAGCCTTACCTTTTTCTTCAAAGCAAGTGATGTATAACTGGCTCCTTGTATGCAAAGACAATTGGTTACAGCCAATGTAATACTGCCTGTCTTCTTTCTTTCCAATTTTTTTTTTCTTCCAGAATATCCATACAAATAAATTTACTATAGATCGTCATAGCGGTGTTCTTCGCATCAAAACAGGGATCACCCTTGACTATGAAAAAGCAAGAACTTTTTTTGTTACTGCAGTGGCTAAGGTAAAATATATTCCCCAAAGGGACAAATGCATAATTATAAGCCAGATGTGCAGATAATGGAAAACGGCATAAGTTCTAACAATGCCTTAAACTTGTGTGTTTCTGATAGCAGCATAGGTGGTCATATTCAGTTTTCTGGGAAGGGGCTCAGAGGCCAGCATCTTCTGCAGGAGCTCCCCTCTTGTGGCATTCCCTGCCATTGGAAATTGGCATGTTCACTGCTGATATTTAAGAAGCTGCTAATGATCTAGCTTTTCCAAGAAGCATTTGGGACTAAGCAGTGAGGAAGGGATGTGTTTGAGGTGAATGACTGGTGCTGTTAGTATGAATGCAATGAATTGCTTCTATATGGATTTTATATGGTTTAAGAGAGGTTGTACGCCCCTATTCTGGTGATGTTTTTATTTTATGATATTGGCTATTAGCCACTTAGAAGAACTGGAGTTGGACCTGAAATAAATAAGTAAATTACTAAATAAGAGTATATGAGAAACATTCAAGCAAGTCCCTTCCCACTTTCATTTTGGAGAGATATTGTCCAATACTTATTTCTGCTTCAGTAGGTTTTTCAGTTTTTAGATGTTAAATTGGGGCAGGAGATTTCTGATTCGATGCAAAGCAATGCCCAGCTTGTAACACATTCTTACCATTCCTTAGTATGTCAAGGGGTGACTCAGCCCTTGTCAAAGTCTCAAGACATCTCCCGGACTGAGACACAACCGGGAAACCTTTGTGCCAAATGAGACCACTGCAGTAGCCACTACTGAAATCCACACTGTAAGGAGAGAAGGTTTCACCATGTATCCTACGGCTCATTTGTCTAGATTTCCTTTCAGGTTCCAGTCTCTGTACAGCTATGATGATGACTGGGATCTAGAAATATTTTCCTGGTACATGTGCCAAATTATGATCGTTGCCTGAGCTTCAGGCAGGCCCCAATTCTCTTACCATCCCAAAAGGGATTCTAGCCTTGCAATTGCTCCCAGGTGAATCTGAAAGAGATTTTGTTCCATGATTCCCCTTTAGAAGCAATGCTACCAGGCCTGACCTTAAGGACATGGGGCGGGGGGTCAATTTTCTGAGCAAGTTGCCACGCAATCAATAGATATTGAGCTCCACAATTCTCCCCCTCCCCTACGCCCCTACTTTTTCTATTTTTTTTTTTTTAAGGGTTTCTTCTGAAGTCTGGCAGAAAGCTGAAAGAAAGGACAAACCTGCAGAAGAACCTAACAGTTTTATCAGAATGATGAAAAGAGAGTTGTGACATCACGCTGCAAACTCCACCCCTTATGTTAGTGTGTATGACATCACAACGCATGTATGAAAGGGGCAGTGTTTGTGTCATGATGTTGTGATTTTCATTTAATCATTTGCCCATCTGACTCTCTGAAAGCATCTGAAAGCAAAGGGGTTATTATAAGGGTCAACAAGCATTTTCTGAAACCTCACAAGGGACGGCTGTTGGTTAGCTTTGGCTAGCAGTGAAGAAAGGTAGCACCAAGGTTATCTAAGACAGCAATAGGGGTTAACCTCTTTCCTCCCTCAGCTATATTATAGAAATATTAAATAATATTAAAGCTCCTGAAATTAGAACCTGAATTGAATAGCTTTAGGTAGTGGAAAGAAAGGAGATCCTATTCTGAGATGATGGAGATACTGATTTTTCTTCCTTTGGAGAATCTAGTTCCTGCAAGTTACCCATAAAACAAAGATAAGCTTTGTTTCTGCAGAAAACAATCAAAATTAACTCTTAACCCCTTTAACCATAGGTAACAAAACTGAGAAAGAGGAGACACGTGTCCCCAATATTTGGGGAATCAGCTGAAATTCTCCAGGAGGGGAGCCCAGAAAACAACAACTCTTACTGAATTTCTCACAATGGTCTTTTCTGGCCCAATTCAGTTTTGGCTTGATCCAATAACACATAACAGTCTTGGAATTATTTTGTATCCCAGGATGGTGGTGGAAGGCTCCATGGGAATCACAAGGTGTTTTCAGCCACAACTACCATCACGATCAACGTTGAAGATGTTCAAGACACCCCACCAATTTTTGTGGGTACACCCTATTATGGGTATGTGTATGAGGACACACTGGTGGTGAGTATTACAGGGATCCTGTTTACTCTACCCAAACAGTATGGATTCTGCAAGGGGAACTCAAAAAACAGTGACTGGGATTTAAAGACATCTATATTTGCAAAATATCCAGGGTATATCTGCTGATTTCCTTTCTGCCCATAGCTCCCTTCTGGCATGCTACTTCAGCAGATCTTTAGAAACAACAAAGGAGCACAGGTAGATTCTGTTAGAACAGGAGATTGAAAATCATTGGACCATCGTAAAGCAATTTGGAGATGACCTTGGTATGAAAGAACCATTAAAGAGGGACTTGGAGAAGCAATTACACAATCCAGGATTGATGCAAGCGTGAGAAAGAAACAAAATAGTCCCACTTTGCTTTTGTTAGTATAAGAGAGGACTGAGAGAAACTTGGTCAGACTTTCAAAAGTGATGCCAAGGTAGGCCAGGTCAAGAGACAGGCGCTGCAGGGATTCCAGGAATTCTGCTTTGGGTTGTTGTTGTTTTTAGGGTATAATAACAGAATCTTGAAAGTTTATCCAAGTTCTTCTCTGTCTCTCTTTATACAAACACAATCAAGGTGGAATTAATTGGAGATATTTTTCTCATGCTTGCTTCAAGTTCTGGATGATGTAATTTCTTCTCCAGGTCTGTCTTTTCCTCTTCTTTCATACCAAAATCATCTCTAAGCTCCTTTACAATCATATATGAGCCAAGGATCTGTGCATAAAGCATAAAAGTAGCTATTTAGTAGTCTTAGACTTTTTCCCACAACCCAAGTGATGTTCTTTCCTCCTGTCCTCCAGACAGGATCAAGGCCTATTACTCCAAAAACTACTAGCCCAGTTTATTTCCAAAACAAGGCCAGCAAATGCCCATATGTGGGGAGGCTGTGGGGGAAGCCAGAGGTAGGGGTACGTGCCAGGAAAGAAGGAGAGCGGCGGGGGAGGGGGAAGAAAATCTGTCTCCCTATGGAAAAACCAAGCAGCAGAGATTATTGATAGGAGTAGCATCCTTGTGGATACTTTCCAAGGGGTATCTGTCCTACCTCAGCCCCAAAAATAAAACATTGGCTGCCAAGGTTCTCTGCCTGGCGAGCAAAGCAGAAACACATGAAAGCACAGAGTCCCATAGCTGGATGGGAAGGGGCAGTCCTGCAGGTCCTCATGGACCTACTGAGTCTCCTCCTCTATGCAAATCCAGATGTTAACATAGTAGGTGGTGCTGCATCTTCTGAAGGAAAACGCCACTTTTCTGCCAGATCACTCTGATCTGCCTTCATCCTGACTCAGTGACAGGCAAGCACAAAGATGGAGGCTCCGTTGTGTGGTCAAGCCTTCAACAAACATTTAGCAGGCCATCTTGGCACGAAGATGAGGAGGTGTGTGGATGAGACCTTAGATTATGTTGCTGTGACATTGACCCTAATGCTTACAAGTATTGGGGGAAGTTTGATAGGAAGGAGATATGTTGAAGACAGGAAACAAATAAGAAGGGAAGAGAAGAGAAGAAGTTGAAGGGATGCGGTAGAAGCAGATAGACAATAGGAGCAGAAGAGACAGAATAGAGATATTGCTTAAAAACCTGCCTCTTTCTGCAGTGAATTTATGACGCTCTCATATATAGGGCAAGAGGCTGGGTTGTAACTTTATTCTTCTTCCAAGCACATTCTCCATGGTGTTTCAATCTGCCAAACAGGAAAGCAGAATTAATAATTGAATCCAACTGCAGGATTTAGCCTCAGCCAAGATCCAAGTCCACCTTACAGCTGCATATGAGAGTTTGGTTAATTCTGCTTTAATTTGCAGGACTACACATGGATTTAAAATTAACCAGAGTCAAGGCCACTGTGTGAGTTAGCGCTGGGCCTCCCTGGAGGATTCCTTGTAGCTTTTATTAATAGCGGGTTCTTCTTCCTATTTCTGCAAATACTGGCAATGTTTTTCACGCACTTTGTAATTTGTGGCAATAAAAGATGCAATAAAATGGTGAAACATAATTTACTCATTGTAACTATTAACCAGTGATCCGGAAATACCCTAATGATGAAATAGCGGACTTTTAAATGAAAACAAGGCAATTGAGTGTTAATGACCTCTGCAAAAAATAAATAAATAATATCGTAACATATTGATGGGATGTGAATACTGGGGTGCTCATATCTCCAGCCTTGCAAGGCAGGACCGGTAGCCAGATCCTCTTGGTTACATATTTCAGAGATAGATAAGCCATCATCATTTGTGTAATGAACAACAATTAATAGAACTCAGGCTGAATATGTGAGAATCAAGGACTGAATATTTAGAAAAGGATACCTTCTACACTTATATATCCTTTCCTGTGTTGACCTGTTCTTTCTTTAAGAACAATGTTCACCCAGCAGTGTGGCCCTCGGATAAGTCTGATCTCCAGGCAGAATAACTAAATCATCTCCAATTTCCAATTCAATATTTGGAGAGTTTCAATATTAAAAAAAAAAAAATCAAGCAAGGAGACATCAGAACCCATCAGCTTCTTTTTAGAATTTTTTTTAAAAAAGAACCTAGTTGCCTAAAGTTTTCAGGAACCTTAAGATATTAAAAAGCAATTTCCAGGATTTCTTAGCTAAGTCTGTCTTTTAGTCTTCAAGACAAAGCAGGGAAGACATTTTACGTCCACACAGACACTTCTACATGACCCGGGATCTTCAAGTGATGATCGGGGTTCCATCTCATGTGGAAGCTGATGATCCTGTGTTGGACTGAACATGAAAAGCTAACACCTCCACAGAGTTAAAAGTAGCATACAATTGTACAGAGATATTGATAGTATCTTGAAACCTGAAGGTCAATACATTATCTCCCCCCCCAAAAGTTGCAAGTTTCCTCTACCACAATGATGTCCCATCTCATCTCCTTGGAGTAACACTTCACATTCTTTTTACATCACTAGGACTCCTTATACAGAGGTTTTTCTTCTCTTTTCTCTCTAGGGATCTGAAGTCATAACTGTTGTTGCTATTGATGGAGACAGAGGAAAACCTAATGACATTCGTTACAGTCTTATGAATGGTAGGTGGTTGGTGAAACTGTAAAGACATGACTAAGCCAACTAGAGGTAAAGGAAAGCAGAGACAACCTTGAAGAAAGTCTGGAGGAACAGTGAAGGCAAAATAAGAATCAATCCTGTCCTGGGAAAGGTGAAGATGTGAGAAACTCAAAATAATCTCACCTTGATTATGTTTGGTATAAGAGGGTGCAGAGAGGCACTCTAGCAGACTTTTGAGATTCTGCACTTACATCTTTCAATATTCAAATAGCATTCCTGGAACCTTTGTAGTATCTGTTTCCTGACCTGGCCTCCCTCAAGGAGCTGACATTATGGTTCTGAATTAACAGATATTTTAGTTGTGGTTTAGCATATCTAAGGAAGCATGTGAGGTCTAGTGAAAAAAAAAAAGAGAGATTTAAATTCATTATAGCCTACCATATCATATTTTGGGTCTTATGAGTCTTCCAGTTATCGTGTGAGTCTTATGACAGGTCTAGTGAAAAAAAAAAAGAGAGATTTAAATTCATTATAGCCTACCATATCATATTTTGGGTCTTATGAGTCTTCCAGTTATCGTGTGAGTCTTATGACAGGTCTAGTGAAAAAAAAAAAGAGAGATTTAAATTCATTATAGCCTACCATATCATATTTTGGGTCTTATGAGTCTTCCAGTTATCGTGTGAGTCTTATGACTGTTCCACTATAAGCATAAAAAAATAATAATAATTAAAATGTATTCCCAATTGTAAGATAGGCCTTTTTAAGGAGATACAGATAGGAGGCAGTTTCCTTACGGAAGTTGTATATGGCAATGGTATGTGGGAATGACCTTGGGAGACAGGAAGAAGAGATGCAGCCAAGGGAATGGACAGATAAAAGGCAACTTAGCCCACAGCAGGAATGTGGGAGGGGCAAGTAGCTCAGAAGGGACCCTCCCTAGTTTCTTGGGCTGTAAAGGGGATGGGGGGAGAAACGCACTTTCAGACTTGCAAGATTCTGTTAATGTAACCTTGCTGTAAAGTAGAATTAGCTCATCTGGCCATGCTTCCTGTCTGGCCTACCTCGCAAGGCTGACATCAATCTTGCAAGTCTAAAAGTCTCTTCTCCCTGTCTCTCAAGGTCATTCCCACCTACTGTTACAAGTATATGTTTATGTGTGAGTGTGGGTGTGCTCTCCTTCTCTTTCAGTGCACAGTTCCAGGTCAGGAGAATAATTTTAGCTGAATGAGGATTTCAAGGTTCTGTAGGGGCCAACATACCTGGGCTGTAAGAATCCTGACAACACTAGATAGCAGTAAGAGGTATAAACATCTACCTCCTGCCATCTGGTGCTGTCTTGATATTTGTAGTTGAGATCTGATAGTCCTGAATAAATAAGGAATGTGCATTCTAATTATCTCCCCTTCTCAGTTATTTCCTCTTCTCAGTTAGAAAGAAAGAAAGAAAGAAAGAAAGAAAGAAAGAAAGAAAGAAAGAAAGAAAGAAA